TGCAATGGAATACTATTTGGCCATAAGAAAGAAGGAAATCTTACCCTTTGCAAAAGTGTGACTAGACCTGGAGAGCATTATGCTAAGTGAAATAAGCCAATCAGAGATAGACAAATGCCACTCATTTGTCTCATATGATTTCACTCATATGTGGCATCTAATGAACAAAATAAACTACACAAAAAATAGAAACAGACTCATAGAGAAAAGACTGACAGCTGTCAGAGGGGAGTGGGGTTGTGGAGCTTGGTGAAATATGTAAAGGGATTAAGCAAAAACAAAATAACAACAAAAATCTCATAGATACAGACTACAGTATGGTGATTACCAGAGGGAAAGAGGGGTGGGAGCAGGTAGGAGAAGGTATAGATGAGATAAATGATGAACACTTAACTTTGGGTTGTGAATACACAACACAATATACAGATGATGTTTTATAAAATTGTACACCTGAAACCTATGTAATTTAATTAACAATGTCACCCCAATAAATTCAATACAAAGTTTTTTTTAAAAGAAAAACAATATTTTAATAAAACCAAAAAAATCATGAGTGGTTACTCATAAAAGAAGATTATTTTCCTTACAAAATTCTCTATCTTCTCTTAAATAGGAATCCCTGGGTGGGTTTAAGATATGAGATCATAGTAAAATTATTATATTGTTGAAAGTAAATTAAACTTGAACCATTACATTTATTTGTCATACAGTTAAGATTAGAACTAGACTACTAGGTTGTACATAGAATTAGAAATATTTTTACCCAATAACTTATTATAAGGTGTCCTATAATATTTTACCCAACTGTTTACACTTTAAGCAGTTCTATTGCCTCTTTAACAAAAGCTACAGAAAATCGAGTGCTACAGCTAAAGTTTCACATTCTTGAAAAAAAGAAATAATATCTTTCTTTAAAAAAATATTTTTATTGACTTTTTACAGAGAGGTAGGGAGAGGAATAGAGAGTTAGAAACATTGATGAGAAACATCGATCAGCTGCCTTCTACACGCCACCTACTGGGGATCGAACCTGCAACCAAGATACATGCCCTCAACTGGAATCGAACCCGAGACCTTTCAGTCCATGGCCCAATGCTCTATCCACTGAACCAATAAGTCAAGGTTAATATCTTTTTTTTAATTGCATCCACTTAAGAAGAGGTTCACTCCTTTCGTAAGCTGTGCTCTGAGATTTGATGTAGGTTACCATTGCTGAAAACCTTATACTTGTGTAACACTTTAAAATTCACAGACAACTTTAATACAGATACATTTTTTTATTACAAAAATAAGTGGAAAAATGGTGAGTGTTGACCAGGTAAGGGGGATGAGGACAAAGGAAGAGGCTAGGAAGAGGAGTAGCAGTCCTGATAATATTGTTATAAAAATAATATGGCACTGAATGAACCTCACCCTACTCTGATGACCCAGATTCCCAACTTTCCTATGGCACCACAGCAATCTCTTCAAGGAGCTATAATGTCTAGTTTGATGAAAGAAGAGACACACTTCATGTTGTATTCTCATATTGCCTGTTTAGAAAGAAGGAACTGTCCCTTGGATTGTTGTCTCCACAACTCATCACCACTTCATACCTACATTTTTAAACAATAGATAACTGCCACTTTTCTGAGAACACAAGCATCCAAAAGAAATGAGGCTTCCTAGAACTGCCAGTTATTCCTTCACTCCAAATGGCTGAGCTACAGTTTGATAAAACTCAAGTCCCCCAGCAATTACACTTCTGGAAAAATATCCAAAGAAAACCAAAACACCAATCCATATGTGCACTATGTTCACTTCAATGTTATTTATAACTACCATGTTTCCCTGAAAATAAAACATCCTCCGAAAATAAGACCTACTTACAGGTTTCCTTCTGAGTGAAATGTAAGGCATCCCCACGAAAATAAGGCCCCCCTTAGGCTCTGTCTCAGAATGAAAATTAATTTACATAAACTGGTCGGTAGGGCCACCCCGACTGGCGTCTAGCAACCAGTGACATTACATGGAGCCCTGACATCAATGCTGTGTGGAGGTGGAGTGAAGGTCTCAGTGAGCAGTGAGCGCGGGGCGGGAGAGAGGAGGAGACTTTCGCAGATGCGTGTAGAACAGGAGGATTAGAGCTGACAGGACACAGCAAAGGTGGTGAGTGCTGGTCTATCTCTGTGACACTACCTGATGCTTGTGGCTGCCCTCATGATGACTGAAGGTTCTCAGTCAGTGACAGACCCTGCTCCAGCCCAGATCCAGGCCCCAGCAAGCCCAGTGACAGTCCCTAGGCAGGCCCCAGGGGGTAAATGTCTGATGAAGGGGTAGGGGGGATGTCTGGTGAAGGTGTTCAGTGGCACAGGGGTAGGGGGAGGGGGATCACTTAAAATGACACAGGAGGATCAGAGGAGGCAATCAAAATGACATAGGAGGATCAAAAGGGGTTACTAAAATGGTAATTGCCCCTCTGATTATCCTGTGCCATTTTGATTCCCCCCTCGATCCTCCCTGTGCCATTTTAAGTGATCCCCATCTCCCCACCTTGATAACCCAATTCCTTTTTTTTACCCCTAGAAATGAGCAGAAAAAGAAAAAGCTACTCCGTGGACTACAAGAAAGGAATTGTGGAAGACTCTTGGGGCCAAAATATTACTGCTTTCTGCAAAGAGAAGATGTTGAGTATCCAATTGGTCCGAAAATGGCGAGCAGAGTATGGTAACCTCATTGAACAAGTGGACAAGGGAAATGCTAAAAAGCTCAAGTGTGGATCAGGTCGGCAACCATTATTTTCTGAGCTGGAAGACCTGATCTGTGAATGGGTTGTAGACAGGAGAGCAGGCTTTGGTTGTGAATAGGGCTCAGATTCAAGAATTTGCCCTCGCAATGGCACCACAGTTTGACATAGCCCCCGAAGACTTCAAAGCATCACAACACTGGCTGGATAATTTCCTTCAGTGAAATGAACTGTCTTTAAGAAGATCTACAACATTTATTTAGGTTGGAAGATATTCAAGTTATGAAGCGAGCACTTGCATTCAAGTTCTTTATTGATGATGCTGACTTCTCTAAATACAATCTTTCCAACATAATTGCTATGAATGAAACTTCAGTGTTTATGGGCCAATCATCTCAAACAACAATTGAACAGCGGGGTGCCTCCTTAGTGTACATTTCATCCATTGCTTAGGAAAGTGCACGTGTTAACTGTATTTTGGCAATTCGTCTGGATGGCACTAAAATCCCTCCTTTAATTATTTCTAAGGGCAAGAAGAAAAAGATTGAACGTGTTTTGGGCGTTTTTATTCTTGAAACTGAAAAAGCCTGGGCCATACAAGCAGTTATAAGGAAGTGGGTCGATTTAATGCTGCTGCTTGTTATGCAAGAGAGCCAAAGAGGTCTGCTAGTCTGGGATGCAGCCAGCACTCACAGTGCTAAAGACATGAAGACATTTATTCACGAAAGAAAAATAGATCAGATAATGATTCCCGCAGGAATGACGACCTATCTCCAGACTCTTGATATTGCAATAAGCAAGCCATTCAAAGACAATTTGCGCATGGAAATTAATGACTACATTGAAAATAGAATGGAGAGAAATCAGCGTGAAAACTTTGTGAAACCTAAACTGCAAGAAGTTGTGACTTGGGTGAAAAATTCATGGGAGAAAATCACTGACAGTTGCATTGCAAATGCACTGCAAGAAGACTACCTTGACAAGAAGTACTCATTTAAAGACAGTGCTATTGCTAAACATGAGAGATTTGGTTCACTGATTCTGAAAGAAATGGTCACAAGAAATTCACCAGGAAATTCAGGAATTAGATTTTTATGATGATGTTCCAGAAGATGATGACATGATTGTCATTGAATAAATGAGTAAATTCTTGATACTGTAGGATTCACAGTTTGTCTGGTTTGTGTTGACAACTACCATACTACCGTACCGTATATAGGTAATAAATTTCCTTTATTTTCATTTAAGAATAAATGTGTACCGTATTCTTCTTCATTGAAAAATAAGACATCCCCTGAAAATAAGACCTAGTGCATCTTTGGGAGCAAAAATTAATATAAGACACTGTCTTATTTTGGGGGAAACAGGGTAGAAGCCTGGTGCACAAAATTCTTGCACTGGGGGGTCCCCTCAGCCCAGGATGCACCCTCTTTAATCTGGGACCCCTCAGGGGATGTCTGACTGTGGGATGGGGCCTAAACCGGCAGTCAGACATCCCTCTCACAATCCAGGACCACTGGCTTCTAATCACTTGCCTGACTACTGGCTTGATCACTGCCTAAATGCTCCCCTGCTGGCCTCATGTCCCCCAACTGCCTTCCCCTGCTGGCCTCATGACCCCCAACTGCCTTCCCCTGCCGGCCTCATGACCCCCAACTGCCCTCCCCTGCTGGCTTGATCGCCCCTATCCACCTCTGCCTTGGTCCCCACCACCATGGCTTTCTCTGGAAGGAAATGGAATGGTAGGAAGATGTTCAGTCTCCCAGTCTAATTAGCATGTTACCCTTTTATTAGTATAGATATCCAATATTTGAAAGCAGCCCAAATGCCATCAGTAGATGATTAGATTAAAAGGCTGTGGTACATTTATATAATAGAATACTATTCAGCCATAAAAAAAAAAAAAAAGGAAATCTTACCTTTTCTGACAACATGAATGGACCTGGAGAGTATTATGCTATGTGAAATAAGCCAGTCAGAGAAAGATAAATACCATATGATGTTTACTTTTATGTAGAATCTAATGAACAAAATAAACTAACAAACAATATAGAAACAGACTCATATGTACAGGGAATAGACTGACAGCTTTTACAGGGGAGGGAGGTTGTGAGGCTGGGTGAAAAGGTTACGGCTTAAGCCAATAAATATATAAATAAGCAAACGAACAAACAAATGAATAATTCAAGTCCCCTAGCCCCCCCCAAAAAAAATCAATACAGGTCCTCTGAAGAAATCACAAATATTAGAAATCACAAATATTTCTATTACATACCTCAACCTGCTGGCAGATCTGTATTAGCTTGGCCATTTGATTTTCTAGTTCGCTGTTACGCTTAACCAGGTTGGTGAGGTTCATCTCTAGAGTTTGCTGTCATCGCAGAGTGTGAAGCAAGAGGGAAAAGGGTAAGGGGGGGGGGGGAGAACAAACATTCAATGAGCTTGAGAACCAATACCATGTCAGTCAGCAAATACACTATTTCCTTTTTTAAAAAAATGTTTTTATTGATTTTAGAGAGAGAGAAGGACTGGAGAGGAAGAGAGGGAGAAATATTAATGATGAGAGAAACATCATTAATCAGCTGTCTCCTGCATGCCTCACACAAGGGATCGGGCCCGCAACCCCAGGCATGTGCCCTGACCAGGAATGGAACCTGCAACCTCTTGGTGCATGGGCCCAACATTCAACCACTGAGCCACACTAGCTGGGTGGCAAATACACTATTTCAAAGATTCATTGAGCACTTGCTATGGGCTAAGCACTCTTCTAAGCACTTAATAATACTATACAATTGGTACACTATCATTGTTGGGGAAAAGTTGACATTGTGGATATAGGACTTTAATGACTGCTTTGTTTTCTGTATTATTTTTAACTTTTTAAAGTACTTCATAGTCAATATTTCATTTTGCCCTCATAGTATACCTGTAACATAGGTAAGACATGTATTTTTTAAAATATATTTTACTGATTTTTTTTTTATAGAGAGGAAGAGAGAGGTTTGGAGAGCTAGAAACATTGATGAGAGAGAAACATCGACCAGTCGTCTCTTGCACACCCCCCACCAGGGATGTGCCCACAACCAATATACATGCCCTTGACTGGCATCGGACCCGGGACCTTTCAGTCCACAGATCAATGCTCTATCCACTGAGCCAATCCGGTTTCGGGAGGACATGTATTATTATCTCTTTTACAGATTAGTAGACTGAGAAAACTATAATTTATTGAATGGTTACTACTTGCCAGACACTATGCTAGACATTTTCGTATATATCATTGAATAATCATAATAACCCATGAAGTAGGATGTGTCAACATTTCACATATGAGAACACTGAGCTTTAGAGTGAGGTAAAGTATTTTCCACAGTCATATAATTAGTATATGGCAAAGCTAGGGCTCTAACTCAGGTCTCTAGCATTCAGTCATGGCTTTGCTCCAGAATCCCATGATTTTTGTGTGTATTTGTTGTTGTTGATGATAACATTTTATATTTATCAGTAGATTCCTTCAGAAAAGAATATGGTGTTTTAAGTGTGGTATTCCTCAAAATCTAGCACCATCTGTCAGTTTCACTTCCTTGGCACTAAGAAAGAGCCCCTGAAGATGCCAGACTTCAAAAAGCAAAGCCTGACTGTATCAAGATAGGACAGCCATTGCTTATCACTGCTTACTACTATATAGGTACTTTTAAAATATACATTAGAAGCACTTTGGAAATCTATTTAATATAACATAGTTCAAAAATACTCAGAGATCTTAGCATATTTTCAGTTGAGCCAGCTACTCTCTCCCATTCCTTATCTAAGAAAATAAAATTTTATTTACTGTAGTTTGATAATGAGCTTTTTATTCCTTCCCATTCCCAAGTCTTTAGCTCTGGTGGCTGCTACTACCCCAGGACGTGCCCCAATATCCGTTCCTCTCTGACTCACCATCCCAACGCCCTCACAAAGTCTGTTCCAAATATAATACCCCAATTTCCTAGCCCTTACACTACTATGATTTTTTCCCTTGGCCATGATGCTTCATTGCTGTCTACAGTTTTTATGGTTTGTAGTTGTTCAAAGTTCATGTTTTCAGTAGGAGAAATGGAAAAGGGGGAGAGGATTCATGTACTTGGCCCCTTGCTACTAAAGAGCTGTTATGCTTAGTAACCTTGGTACTGTCCAATGAATCTATCCTAAAATATATATTCCTCTGGATATGCATATTTCTAGGATAGGCAGTTTGATTTAGCTTGTTCTGAAACTGAATTATGAAAACCACCTTAATTTTTGCTTCCCTTTTTGCCAGATCTCTCTTGGTTTCTTTGGCTTTGTTCCAATAGAAGTTATTTTACATAGTTTATTCTATCTTTTTGTGTGTGTGTGTGTGTGGTTTGGGCACAGTGTTTCTCCTGGTCTTCTTTAAACTCCATGACCATTTCAACTGTGGCCTTCTACTTAACAAGGACAGAGAGGAAAGAAGGAAAAAAGAAGGACTGCAATCAGTGATTTGGGCATGATCTTTAAGCTAAGTAGATGTCAGAGGAAAAAAAGAAACAACAGTTCAGAAATTTAACACAACAAAAGGTATTGAACATCTACTCTGTTCAAGGTGCAGTGATCTGAGATAGAGGAAGTGAGATTAAGAGGAGTCTTGAAGGATAAGTAGGATTTTAATAGACAGAGATGGAGGGTGGCAGGGTATTCCAGGCACTAGGAATAACATAAACAAAATTAAAATGGAATAAAGTATAGGACACGTTCAGGGAAGAGACTTTGAGTTTGGCTAGAACAGAGGGTACAAGAGAGTAGTGTGTGGAGGGAGGCAAGACTGGAAATGGAAATCAAGGCTCTGTTGTGAAGGTCTTAAATACCTAGATGAGTAGTTTGTACCTATTTTTTAAGCAGTGGGGACTTTCCAAAGGCTTTTGAGTAAGATAATGATATAATCAGGGCTTCAGTTATGAGATCAAGCTACCAGCAATATGTGGGGCAAACTGAAATAGAAAAGCCTGGGGACAGGGACATTGGTTAGAAGAAAGCATCAGTGTTCAAGGAAGTTGGAAATGCAGGTCTGGGCCAAGCTAATGTGATAATGGAAAAAAAAACAAAAACACACATTTCAGTCAAGGATTTACCACTGTCATATATACAGAGCGTGCAAGAAAGGCAGCTGGATTTGGTAATTAGAGGTCACTGGTGACCTTTGAAAAATGAATTTGAATAGACTTTTGGAAGTAGATGCCAAACTGTACAGGATTAAGTATGGAGGTAGTGATAAGTGGAGGCTCCAAATCTGGGCTCCTCTTAAAAAGTTTGACAGCAAGATGAATATGATAGAGCTGTAGTTTGATGAAAAGGCCCAGCTTAAGTCAGAGTGGGCATTAGTAATGGACCCAATCAGTTTGTGATTATCTCTAGCAGCATGGTCCAGATTCCTAGATGAATGGAAACCCAGTGTATTAAAAATGGCTATATTGACATACTAGTATTAGGTAAACATAATGTAGGCTGATGAACTCAGAACAGATATATTAGAAATCTGTGTTTCAAACTGCAATATGTTTCCATTCAAACATAGGATGCCATAGGGAGAATGTTTTCTAACGAGTACATGCAACCTGTTGCAATACTTGTTATGAAACTGATATTTTATAAATAATTCATAGTGCAGAGAAGGACTAAGAACCCTGCCGTGTGTTCCTCATTTATGGCCCAGAACTGAGACTCATAGCTTCTGTAAAGCCACTGAAAACAAAAATTAGGGCCTAGCACATAATTTGGGGTCTGATTAGACTATGGACCTTGGGTTACCATCACAAAATTATGGAAAATGGCTATTTTGATCCTTTCCCCTAGCAATTTGCAGATCAACACATTTTTTATAACAGACAATTATAAATGACAAAATGCCTCTAATTTCAACCTGACTTCATTAATATGAAAATGCTTTGAAAAATAAATCTTTGGCTAATAAAAACACCATCTGTTGATGGCTTTCTGCCACTGTTTTCTTATATTATGAGAGATAATTTGAGAAAAACACTAAGCATTTACTTACTAACTTCCTACTCATTTACAAGGAATTAAAGTCACCTCTGAAACTGAAATTGATTCTCAATAATGAACCCTTGTACAGGGTACTGACACAATTATGCAGTATATTTCCACACCCTTACTTCTCATGCCTTTTACTGACTAATCACTTAGAACTAGATATTCTGGGCCACTATAGGTTTTATTGATTTAGCCAAGTAATTATCTTGTCTATACTCTGGCTGAGTAAACAAAAATGATATAGGTATATGTATGTATGTCTACACATATGCACTAATAAAAGAGAGAGATGCAAATTGACCATACCTCGGCTAAGCCCACAAGCCACGCCCACCAGCCAATCAGGAGAGAGTATGCAAATTAACCCAACCAAGATGGCTGCAGCCACAGAGTGAGCAGGAGGCTTGGGTTTCCCTGGCAATGGAGGAAGCCAAGTTTCCTGCTGTCTCTGGCTGGCCCTGGCCTCTGCTCAGAGCTAAAAGTTTGAATTTTAGAAGATAAATAAATCCCAACAAAAATGGCAGCAGCCATAGAACTATAGAGAGCAGGAGACTTGAGTTGCCCCTAGTGATGAAGGAAGCCAAGCTTCCCACAGCCCTGGCCTGCCCTGGCCTTTGTTCAAGGCTACGAAGTTTCAATTATAGAAGATAAATAAATCCCAGATCCCAGGACCTCTGCTTGGGTCACTGGAGGGCGTGGCCAGCCTGAAAACCACCATAGGCCCCTCACCCAAGCAGCCCCATACCCCAAGGGACCCCCTACCTTGATCTGGGACACCCTTCAGAAACCAGCTGACCTCCACCCATGCACCAGGCCTCTAGCATATCTAATAAAAGAGTAATATGCAAATTTACCATCACTCCAACACATAAGATGACTGCCCCCATGTGGACACAAGATGGCTGCCACAAGATGGCCAGCAGAGGAGGGCAGTTGAAAGGGAACAGTCCTGTGAGGGAGGGAAGTTGGGAGCGATCAAGCCTGCAGGGGAGGGCAGTGAGGGGTGACCAGGCTGGCAGAGGAGGGAAGTTGGGGGTGACTGGGCCTGCAGGGAAAGGCAGTTGGGAAAGACTCAGGCCTACAGGGGAGGGCAGTTAGGGATGACCAGGCCTGCAGGGGAGGGCAGTAAGGGGCAATCAAGCTGGCAGGGGAGCAGTTAAGCATCAATCAGGCTGTCAGGGGAGTAGTTGGGGGGTGATCAGGCTGGCAGGCAGAAGTGGTTAGGGGAAATCAGGAAGGCAGGCAGGCAAGCAGTTGGGAGCCAGCAGTCTTGGATTGTCTGCTGCCTGGTAGGGGTGTCTGACTGCCTGGTAGGATCTGGCC